TCCAGGCCGCAGGCCCCTGGCATGGTCACGGGATGTGAGAACGAAGCCCTGTCTCTGAACTGCCCTCCCCCGAAGCGCTGCCGCCACCTGGCCACCTGGCGCCCCCTGCCTCCGGCGCAAGGCCAGCTGCTGGGTTGGAGAGGTGAATGTCATAGAACATTCAGGGGCTTCTTTTGTTCATTTCTACCAGTGACAGCCATTTTTCATCCTTTAAACAATATACTATAAAAACTAAGTAATATAATCTAAAGGTCTGAGGCTGTGACATTATCCTATTTGATGGCCTGAGAGCTTCTCCACTCTGACAGCGATCCCATGAGGAATCTTGTCTTTCTTGGCTTGACAAAGAGGAACCCAAGGATGGGAGGCCTTGGGACACTTGCTCCCGCCCAGGTTCCTCACTACTTGCTTTGCCTCTTACCACTGAATGACTTGGCATCGGAAAGCCTGTGGGTCATTGAGACACAGCCCCAGCCCTCTCTGCCAAATCTGACCACAGCCAACAGAACCCACGTTTATCCACCCAGGCTCTGAAAGCATTTGTATTTGCAACCCCTGCCACATCTTGGCCGCTTGCCACCGTGCCACTGTAGACCGGGCATCAACTCCCGATGTAGGCCGAGAAATGAACCAGCCTTGCTCACAAACCCTCCACCTTAGATGAAAGGCTCATTCTCTCTTCCTGCTGTTCTGAGGAGGCATCACTGCCCTCCATCGCTGCCCTCCTCAGCCCCTAATATAATTAAGAGGCTCAGAGCCGCATGCCTACCCATCCTTCCACCCTGCTCCAAGGAAGGGCATAAAACAAGGCAACTTTGCAGAACAAAAACGGATCAGCTTCCCTTCCCAGAGATGCTGGCCTTTCTCCAGCCACTTGGGATATGTACATATTTACAGAGTGCCAGGCACTATGCAGAGCTCTGGAGTTCAGTGTAAACAAGACAGACAATGCCTTGTCCTCTTGCAGCTCACCGGTTAGTAAGAGGTGCACGAATAAATCGTGATCTGCAGCGCGGTGACGATGGAAAGTGTGGGGACTTGCTGGGTTCTCTTCTATCCCTCCACAATCCTCACAGCAAGTGGGGCCTGGGATCTCCTAAAGCAGAATAATAATAACAAAGCTGTACCAGGCGCTGTTGATGTTTTACATATTCACAACAACCTTATCAAGCTGGTAATATCATTATTGTCCTCCTTATACAGGATGAGAGGAGGCCAGGCATGGTGGCGCATGCCTGTAAGCCCAGCCCTTGGGAGGCTGAGGCAGGAAGATTGGCTTGAGTTTGAGGCCACCTTGGGCTACATAGGGAGACCTTGTTTCAAAAAACCAGAGGGGGAAAGAAAGGAATGAGAGGTTTACTTAGAGCCCTAAACAGTGAAATAGTTTTTCTCAGCTCACACAGCTAGTGCAGATGACGCTTCCGATCTTGGGTGAGCAACACACCTGTGCACAGCCTGTTGCATTTCAAAATGTGCCACAAGCACACAAGAGGAGACAGGGGGAACCTGGGCTCATGCCTAGAAGCAAAACTTAGGTTAGACACTAGGAGGAACTCATCGGCAAAATTTAAAAGCGTAAGAGAGAAAGATTCACCTTTTTGGGAAATTGCTTCTCCCATGAACTTTCTGTCTTGCATAAATAGCACTGTAAAAATAGAGGAATTTTTCCAGAAAAAAAACTGCTCACAAGTGTCCTTTGTGCGCTGTGCTCTGTGTCCCATCTCTCCGGGCCAGATGCAGGCTGCCGGAGAGCTGGGATGAGAGGGGAGGGAACTGGGTCTGGTTCTGCTGCGGCAGTGCAAAGGCAGAGCCGGGCCCTCTGCAGGCCCCAGCGTGAGGGGACACCAGGACACAGAGGTACAACAGAGGGAACAGGTTACCCCCTTACTACTCCAGGCCACCGCGGGGGACAGGAGGCAGAAGTGAGCTGTGAGGGGTCACCTGCTACTTCAGATTAAAGTCACCTAACACAGCCCACCATCCACACACACTGCAGGAGACAGGGCGGGAAAGACGTGCCCATCCGTGGATATCAGGCAGAGTTAGCTGCGAGTTAGAAGTGGCTTCTAGGATGAACACTGCTGTAGGGTTACGAGACCCCCAATGCTTTAATCCAAGCCACTTTGATCAGCTCCAAGCCAGGGGCCAGAGGGAGATCCAGGCTTCTTGGCCTCAACTTCTTGGATACCTTGGGATGTCCCACCCAGCCTGTTCCCTCAAAGATTTTTCTTTTTCTTTTCTCTCTCTTTTTTTTAAACAGGGTCTCACTATTCAGTTCAGGCTGGTCTCAAACTCACTTTGGAGCCCAGGCTGGCCTTGAACTCGCAGCAATCCTCCTGCCTCAGCCTCCCATGTGCTGGGATTACAGGCTTGCACCACCACACCGGGCCAAGGATTTCTTTTAGGCCTAATAAAATATATGTTGTCTGTGAAATGCTTTAAAGTTGGCAGAGTATTTTCTTTACAGGTGCTCAGCTTTGAGGTTGATGCTCACCTTCGTTACAGATAGGTAGGACAGGTATTGTTATTCCTCCAAATCTGCATTTAGATTATGTTTAGAATCACCCAGTAGCAAGTGGAGCCCGGTGCTCACCGAGGTCTTCTGATCTCTTAAGCCCTAGGTACTTTCTCTCGGTTTCCTAAGAACACCTTCCGAATCTTTTCAAATCTTTACACTGCCTAAGCATGGATACCCTGGGCAACCTCTCCTTCCTATAGTTTAGAAGCAGTTTTAGAAGTTCTGTGCTTGACTCGGGGGCCCCTAGTGAACCCATCTGTGTCCCTGGTGGACAGTTCACCCCCTCAGGCTTGGTCTGAGGCACTGGGACCCAGAACTTGTACAATGCCCTGCTAAGCTTCTTAGAGGAAGTGGGTATTAGCAGGATTGGATATTCTCCCCTGACATGCCCTTCACACTCAACCCTGCCTTGAATTAGGATTCCGCAAGGGAGTTGGGGTCGCGAGGATGGGGTGTTTCCTGCTGCCCAGCTTTGGACCCACTCTTTGAGATCCTGGATTCTGGCAAATTCCCGGAGCTGAGAAGACACTGGATGTCGGGGTTTGAAGGTAAATGATGTGCTTAGGGAGGAGGGATCAGTGCTGCTGCCGGCTTGGCTCTGCGCCTCAGGCACACGGGGAGGACAGAGCCCCTCCGACGTTTCCGCAGGGGACATTGGCGGGCTTGCTACAGAGTGCTGAGTTCAAGGCAAGTTCAGAGGGCCAGGGGCAGATGCAAAGGACATCAGACCAAGAAGGAAATTTATTTCTTATTCTTTCTCCTTTGTTGCTCATCCCTCTTTTGCTTTTTAAAATAGTGCACTTGTATCTCTACTGAGTGGGGTGCACTAGAAAGACTGGGGAATTAGGAGGCTCATCTGCCCGGCCACTTACTAGCTGTGTGATGCTGAGCAAGTCACATGTCCTCTCTGGACCTCAGCACCTTCATGTCTTACATGGGGATGGCACCAGGCAGATTCTACGGTTCACCCAGCTACTTTGAATAAATTACTGTCATGTGCAAACCCAATCATTAGTTACTGTTTTGTAATATCTGTGGATACTGATTAGAGATTTAATAACTATTTCCTGGGGCTGGACTTCCATACCTTTTATTTATTTATTTATTTATTTATTTATTTATTTTTGGTCTTTTTGAGACAGGGTCTCACTATGCAGGTCAGGCTGGCCTCGAGCTCACTTTGTAGCCCAGGCTGATCTCAAACTTGCAATGATCCTCCTGCCTCAGCCTCCCGAGTGCTGGGATTACAGGCATGCACCACCACACCCAGTTTCCATGCCCTCTATAAAATGAGGATTCTTTGAGCACCTTTCCTGTTCCTTTCTTCCTGCATCCTTGTGTGAAACAGCCTATGTAGCACTTGATTCTTATTTTTTTTTTTCTGAGACAGAGCTTCACCATGTAGTTCAGGCTGGACTTGAACTCACTGTGTATCCCAGGCTGGCCTCAAACTCGCAGTGATCCTCCTGCCTCAGCCTTCCAAGTGCTAGAACTACAAGCATGTGCCACCACGCCTGGATAATAGCACTTGATTCTATTCAAGGCTTTTCACAGACCTTGCATGTATTTACTCTCTCAAGACTTTTGCGGCAAAAGTATTATTACTATTTACATAGGCATTATTACAATTAAATTAAATTTATATTTAAAATATTATATACATGATAAGAAGGCCGAACTAATAGGACAGTCAGTGAAAAGTAAGTCTCTTCAGAGCTCTAGTTCTCAGTTTTCCTTTCCTAAATGTCCCTCAGAAGACCATGTTTGCATAATCAGTGTAAGTATTATCACACCCATTTCACAGATGAGGCACCAGGGTCCCGCCTGTGCAGGATGGCAGAGCTGGTCAGCAGCACAGCCGGGAATGATGCCTTTGGCTCCTCCTCCATGTTCCTCCAAATCACACTGTCCAGTTAGCCCCATGACATTAACTTTTGAGCTTTGTCCTTTCTGGATGATACAGTGGAATCATTTTAAGACAGTACACACACACACACACACACACACACACACTGCTGGCTCTTTCTGCCTGCAGTTTGCCAACCTGTCTCCCCAACCTTTGGGGAGAGGTTTGCCAACCTCCTCGCAGCCTTTGCTAAGGTGTGACGTGTGGCTGGCACCAGCTGTGGTAGCTGAGCCCCCAGCAACTTAGGCCGAGGACTGGCAGAGCCTCTGCAGGGGCCCAGGAGCACTGGGCGGAATCTGTCACACAGGACCGGCTCAGGAGCCTCGGCAGGTTCTCTCCCTCCCCACCACAAAGCAGGATATCTCTGTGTCTGCTTGACCCCCATTGTCAGTCTGTCCCAGATCAGAGTTGTGGGAGCCCAGATCGCCTCTTAGGGACAAATAACTTCTTTTTAACCTTCTAGGTTTATGGATACCCCCTGGCTGGTCTTCATGGAGAAATCTTTCCTGATAGCACCCTGAACCCCAGAGCAGGATAGAATGAGAGGCCTTCTGTGACCACTCGTAACTGGCCATCATGGCGAAACTGATCAGGATGGGGCCGCAGGAGAGGCGGTTACTCCGGCCAAAAAGGCTTCGTTGGAGTCGCTTCCTCTTCCTATTGGGAATGTTGGTCATCGGGTCTACCTATCAGCACCTGAGGAGGCCTCGGGGCCTGCTCTCACTGTGGGCAGAAGTCTCTTCCCGACAGCCTATAAAATTGGCCAGCCGGGACCTCCCCAGCGATGAGACGGTAACAGTGACCAGCAAACCTCCACAGGACAGCTCTGAAGTGGAGGATGAGGTGGTAGCACCCCAGGCCACAGTGGGCAGGGATCAAGTACCTCCCAGCACGACGAGGGGGAGCACCCCTAATCCACCCAGAACAGCCAAGATCGTTACGACGACACCCAAGAACAAGCACAGCCCAACAGCAGCCAGCACAGAAAGAGCGAAGGAAAACACCCCAACCACTAGAGTTCTGAATCACTACACCCCACCTTCAGGCAGACTAACAGTAAGAAGTCACAGCCCGACACCCAGGGAAGAAATGAGGAGCTCCCGCCCAACTCAAGCCAAGAGAAAGGGGGAGAAGCACACCCCCTCCCCAGCCGGGGGGACAGTAGACACGGACACACCACCCACATTCATGACGGTGGGAACGAGCCCTAGGGTCACCCCCAGCGCGGCAGCGCTAGACAGCGAAACCATGGCAACCGATGAAGTACAGGAGACCAGCGCTCCCAAGAGAATGGCAGATGAAGCGACCCCTGCTACTCCCAAAGGAATAGTTAAGAACACCGCAATTTCCCCAACACATGAGGAAAAAACGCACATCGTGACTTCTCCAAGGAATCTGGTGGAAAAGGATGCCCTGAGTAGCCCCAGAAGAGCGGGAAGTAACAGCTCCACCAGTCCTTGGACATCAGTGGGAAAGAACAAGCTGACAGTTCCCTGGGAAGAAGCCGTGGAGCATACCTCAGCCCCCTCTGAGGGGCAGGCGACAATCGGCACGGTGACAGGGAGCAGCCCAGTGAAAACCAAAGCCTCCACTGCTGCCTGGAGTGTTAGGAGCCCCTGGCCCCAATCCAGTGCACCCGCCACCAGAGCAGCCCCAGCCACCCGCTGGGAGCGGGCCGGGGACCCTTCCACAGCACGCAGCAGCGCCGCTCCGACCACCCAGGTCCGGCACTGTGTGGTTGTGGCGTTAGCTCCCGCTGCACCCAGCATCCCGTCCCACAGCCCGACAACAGCCCTGCTCCCAGGGGCGCCCAGTCCCGGTCTCCCGGCACCGCCGCCGGGCTGGCCAGACACCCACCCCAAGGCAGAGTACCCCCCAGACCTGTTCAGCGTGGAGGAGCGGCGGCAGGGCTGGGTGGTCCTGCATATCTTCGGCATGATGTACGTGTTTGTGGCCTTGGCCATCGTATGTGACGAGTACTTTGTTCCCGCCTTGGGCGTCATCACGGACAAGCTGCAGATCTCGGATGACGTGGCGGGTGCCACCTTCATGGCCGCTGGAGGCTCTGCCCCAGAGCTCTTCACCTCCCTCATCGGCGTCTTCATTTCCCACAGCAATGTGGGCATCGGTACCATCGTGGGCTCGGCCGTATTCAACATCCTCTTTGTCATCGGCACCTGCGCCCTCTTCTCCCGGGAGATCCTCAACCTCACCTGGTGGCCGCTGTTCCGCGATGTCTCCTTCTACATCCTCGACCTGTCCATGCTCATTGTGTTCTTCCTGGACAGCCTCATCGCCTGGTGGGAGAGCCTGCTGCTGCTGCTGGCCTACGCCCTCTACGTGTTCACCATGAAGTGGAACAAGCAGATCGAGGTCTGGGTGAAAGAGCAGCTCAGCAGGAGGCCGGGAGCCAAGATCATGGCCCTGGGGGACCTCAGCAAGGTAAGGACGGGCCCGCGGGGCTCCTCCGGCCTTTGGGTGGGAAGGCAGGGGAAGCTCAGGACTGAAGAGCAGAGGGGCTGGCTTAGACCTCAAGAGACGGGTGCTCGGGCTCTGCCAGCCGCGCTGTTGCGGCCTTCGCAAGTGTGACCCTGGCTCTGCCCCTACCCATCTATAAAGTGGCTGTTATTATTATGTGCCTCATTTGCAGGAGAAGAAATTTAGGCCTAAAGAAGTTAACTGTTTGCTCCTAGTCACACAGCAGATAGGCAGTAGACCTAGTATTTGAATCCCAAGCTGGGGAAAGGCCAAGGAGATACCAGGCTGGGAAAAATGATCATCTTTCCCACCCCCATGGGGCTCAGGGTTTATGCTGCACCCTCACTTTCATTCAGTCGTGTCCAGACTTGTGTACTAGGGAGTGGGTATTTGGCTTGGATGGGGTCTGAGAAAATGCAGGGGTTTTTAATTTTAATTTTTTTTTTTTTTTTTTTTTTTTTTTTTTTTGAGGCAGGGTCTCATACTGGAGTGTAGGCTGTCCTTGAATTCACTACGTAGCCCAGGCTGGTCTTCCACGCATGGCAATCTTCCTGCCTCAGCCTCCTGGGTGCTGGAATACAAGTGTGCGCTACCACACCTGGCTAATTTTTGTTTCTTAATATTAGGAGAGGTGGGAGCTCTGCTCATCTACCAACAAGCCAGCCTTGGGGACAGAAGTCCTCTCTGTGTAGCTGGGGCCCAGACACCAATCCCAGGGCTTCTTGACCCTAAGAACTCTCTGTCCCCTTGCTGAGCTATGCTAACGGGACTAGATGATTCAGTGACCGGAAGGTGAGATTAAATTGGCCAAGTAACCATGGAAACTTTATCTCAAAAGTTTTCATTCTTTGAAACTCTAGAGGAAGAGGACCCTAGGGAAGAAAGACCCCATTTCCATCCTGCTCCTTGCGTGCAAAGAGTACAAGGACTTAGCTTCTTAATCCAGAGCAGTTTTGATGAGTGGGCAGGATGGAGACCAAACTCAGCAGCAATGTCTGGGAGGGATGAGGGCCAAGAGAGATTAAACGCATTTCCTGTGGAATTTCTGAAATAACATGAGGTTCTGGTCAGAGCACCAACTAGAGCTGGGACACCAGGATTCTAATCCGGTTCTACCTCTAATTAACTGTGTGACCTTGGACAGGCCCCTTCCCCTCTTTAGGGGAAATGACAGAGTCCAACTTGTCACCTAAAGGCTTGTCCAGTTCTGCCAGTCTGTGATCATGCCCTGCGTCTAAGTAAGTTAGTTTGGGCAGGACCCAGGACACGGTTATTTGAGCTGATGGACTGAGCTCCTCCGCCTGCTTTGCAGATGGCGGGGAAAGTAGATTTGTCCTGCTCAGGACCACAGAGCCCACAAGTCAGACCCCAGCTTCCTCTCTCCTCATTCTGCTCTCTTTCCCATCTGACTGCTGCTCTAGGAAGCCACAGGCTTAGAAAGAAAGGGAGGCTCAGAGGGTTGCAAACTTTTAAGACGAAGAAGCTGGGTCCTCCTTCCTCACGACATCCCCAGGGCTGGCCAGGAGGGGGGTGGCCCCGAAATTGTGGTCTCTCCTCTGAGAAAAGTCATGACACGGCCTGCGCCAGCAGCTGTCAAAATGCCTCCAACTTGCTTCCAGCTCCTTCACAGTAATGCAGCTCTTATTTAAACTCCACACCTTGCGGATTTTCTTTTTTTATCAGAGTTATTAGACTCTCAAAGCAAATCTTGCCAAGCACCTGAAGTAGAACTGTGATTTCAAAGGAGAATGTATACCCTACTTCAGATGCTTCAGGGGCTTTGGGGACAACTTTTTCCCAAGCAGTAAGCAGGGTGCTGATTGCGTTCTTCATTATTTGTTGAAACAGATCCAGGATGATTTTTAATTGGCAGCATTATTTTTGAACAGCAAGCTGAATTTCTGGCTATACTTGAAAGCAAATCCATATGTATTTAAAATTAAATACCTGTATGTATGCAGGATTTACCATTACTACTGTCCACCTTCTAAAAAGTAGTCCAGGGGCTGGGGATTTAGCTCAGCGGCAAAAGCGCCTCCCTGGCAAGCGCAAGGTTGTGAGTTCGGTTCCCGGTACCAGAGAAAAACCAAAAAAAAAAAAAAAAAAAGAACAAAAATAAAAAGTAGTCCAAATAACTCAAGAACAATAGCTGTTTATCATCATCATTTGTTTTTTTAAAACAGGGTCTTCCTTTGTAGTTCATCTGGCCCAGGACTGACTATGCAGCCTAGGCTGGTTTCAAACTCCCAGCAATCCTCCTGCCTCAGCTTCCCAGGAGTTGGGATTACAAGCATGTGCCACCACATCTGGCTCCATACCTATTTAAAAATGGTTTTTAAATACTTGTGAATTTGAGTTCCACCCCAGGGTTTCTTATAGCTAGAAAGAAGGAACTACTTTTGTTTATATTTTTATGTCTATGTCCAGCTGGCTAAGACCTATGATTTGGTTAGAGGGAAATAAATTATACCTTAATTTGCCGGCAATCTGGGAGCAAGCCATTGTGTTCTGAATTCCTGAAGCCATTCTGTGAAGACCCAATCTTTGATTTAGTCAACTATGATTCTTTTCTTTTCTTTTCTTTTGTCTTTTTGAGACAGGGTCTCACTATGCAGTTCAGGCTGGCCTTGAGCTCACTTTGTAGCCCAGGCTGGTCTTGAACTTGCAACCATCCTCCTGCCTCAGCCTCCCAAGTGCTGGGATTACAGGCATGCACCACCACACCTGGCTCTTTTCCTTCTTATGATTTAATGTAAATGTGCCCTTAGCCTTCCAAAGCAATTTAACTATGAAACTTTAACTGGGAAAATGAACACACGTTGCTTATATCCTTCCTCACACTTATGGTGCCCGCCTCTCGCTGAAAATGGGTCCCTTGTTAAAGCATCACCTGGGGAAGGCAAGAGCTAGGGAAAATGGACTTCTTCAGTCAGTCCAGGTGCCAAAGATAAAGAAGTCAGAGAGAACGGTGCTGTGCACAGGGTAGATGAGGGCCGAACAGCAGGGATGTGGGGAGATGGGTATAAAGTCACAGCCACAGCTGCTTGGGAAGTCGAAGCCAGGGACAGGGGAAGGATGGCATGTCAGAGAGAAACAGAGGCAGAAGGACACCTAGGCTGCCTTCCACCTTCCTCTGCCACCAGCCTAGGGGCAGAGGGTAGAGAAGGGAAGACACTGTGTCAGATACGTCACTGCCACTCAGTGGGGGAACAATCTTTGTATCTCCCGAGGGGCTGAGCCTGGCATGTTATTCCTAGCAGAAGCTCCACAGGTATTTGTTCCTTTTTCTCAGAAGCTTTGGAGTTTCAGGGCAGAAAGGAGTTGGAGCAGGAATCCATGCTTCAGCGGGCCTACCGCATACATTCAGGGCCAGCGAACTCTCACGGGGCCCTACAAGATTAGATTGTTATCCCTACTTTGCAGATGAGAGAACAGAGGCTCAGAGAGGATAATGCACTCAGCCAAAGCCACACAGCTAATTAGCTGTGGTCCTTATTACCAATCATATATCACGATGTCAGCCGGGTATGGTGGTGCACACCCATAATCCCAGCACCTGGGAGTCTGAGGCAGGAGGATCGTTTCGAGTTCAAGACCAGCCTGGACTACAAAGTGAGCTCAAGGCCAGCCTGAACTGCATAGCGAGACCCTGTCTCAAAAAGACCAAAAAAAAAAAAAAAAAATCTATATATCTATGTATCTCATGATGTCTGGATTTCCACCCATTACCTCTAACTCTATCGATTCAGTGGGCAAGTCAAGGCAACCAACACATTGCTTGTTAGCAGTGCGACAAATAAAACGACTATAAATAAATAAAACCAAAGGAAGGGCCAAGCATGGAGAGAGTTAACTGCAATGAAGGGAGCCCTGTGCAACGTGCCACAAATCACTTCGCTTTTCAAACAGGCTTCAGGTGGCTGGCTTGTGAAGTAGACAGGATGACTTAGTGCAGAGGTTAGCAGACCTTTAAAGGCCAGACAGTAGATAGTTTAGACTCTGTAGCCCTACAGTCTTTGTGATGCCTCCTCCACTCTCCCTGTAGTGAGAAAGCAGCTACTGACCGTAAACAAGTAAGTGGGCGTGGCCGTGGGTATTTTCCTAAAAGCAGCACGTTCACAAGTGTTCTCCGCCCGAACAGCCAGCAGAGTCCGCAGCCAGTCTGTTGAGTCCCTGAGCTGGGGAACCTTTTACTTCACTTTTTTTCCAGACTCAGAATAAAGGGTTTTGCAGGGGAGGGGGCTCGAATAAGAATTCACTGAAGAATAAAGAAAAAGTAAGCGATTTAGTATTGATCATAGATATTTATAATAGTGTTTTGGAGTCTCTCTTTTGACAGTGGCTGAAATAAAGAAGATTCAAAGCTAGCTGGGTATACCGGTGCACACCTGTAACCCTAGCTACTCTGGAGGCTGAGGCGGGACGATTGCAAGTTTGAGTCCAGCCTGGGCAACTTAGCAAAAAGGGATGCAAGCCAGGGAACAGGCTTTGTCTGGGGCCTTTTGGAAACTGTGTCCACATTCCTCCGCACAGTGTACCTGAGACTGTAAAACTCCAGGGGAAAACCTGCCACTGCTTCCTGAATACACTCAGGCTATTTTCTTTCTGGCAGGATTTTTTATGATACTACCTGACCAGACTCTAGGCAGATGAGCCCAGTGCTTCTGTGGGGGCTGGTCCTTCCGTTTGATGCCTATCCCGTGGGCTCCTGTGAGTGGCCTGAATAGCCAGCCGGCTGCTGTAAAGATAGTAGGCTGTAGATAGGAAGCAGCCCCTAGCCCTCTCTTCTAAGTTGCCCGGGCTGGTCTTGAACTTGAACTCCTATGATTTGCTTAAGTTTTCAGTGGTCACCTGCTACTGCATGCTAGCAGATGACAAAATGAATGCACAAGAGACAAACAGCAACAGAGAAACTGAGACATCTGATCGTGCCCAGTCCAGCAGGATGTCGTTTTCCAGGACAT